TCCATCTATGATCATCATCGTCATTCCATTACAAGCTTCAAATCACTCCATTTTGATTCAATTTGTCTAGCTACAAAACAACATCAAAACGTTCAAAAGTATTCAAGATCAAACTAAAAACTAAGATTTGAGAGTGCATATTTAATGAGGTGACTACACTCATCAGTACCATTGGAGCCGACACAACTAGAATATAATTAAAATTATATTTGTTTTAAAATTAGGGTTGGACAAAACTTTCGAATCGAACCGGATCCAATCGAACCGAACCAAACCGAGCGGTTCTTCTAAATTAAATACCCGAACGTGTATCTGAATCGAGAATCGATGGGTTCGATTCTCGATTCTAGACTAAAAACTAAATAAGAATCAAATTATTTTATTTTTTAAAAATAGATTTGCTAACTAATTAACTTAGTCCAAACCCAAAAGATTTTACTATTTCTAATTTTCAGTGAAGCTCAATTTAATCAAATTGGCCTAAGTTTTACCCAAATATCTTATTCTATCGTAGTGTCATTTTTGTCGTTCTATTATTGTAAACTCGTTATCTTCATTTCCCTGTGATTTTAATAGTCAAATTTATAGAGAACTCAACAAAGGGGTGCAAAAGATATCACGAGATTGGACTACGTTATTTAATAAGAGTTAAGATTGAATATGTCATCGTCGAATTAATGTAGCGTTACTGTAATATAAAAAAATTAATTATTATACGAAATTCGAAAATCGAATCGAATGGAACTGAACCCGAACGGTTCCATAATTATATCTAGACCCGATTGTTCCATTTACTAAACACCCGAAAATTCGGGTTTGGTTTGAGTTCTCTTTAGAACCGAATTGAACCGAATCGGATCATGTACAACATGTCTATAGAAGTTACTTTATTTTACTATTAAAATTATTTAAAAGGTAACATTCATTTATTATCAAAATAAATAACTTTTAATTTTTATTTTAAGCTTGCTCAATGATTTTGGACATGCAATGCAAAGTTAAAATCGACGGAGGCGGCGAATTAGCTCTATAGGAGGAAAATTGCTCTTACATTATCACCAACAATGTTCCGCGTGGGGAATAGCAAAATCTTGTCTTTTAAGAATTTTCCCAGTAATTGGGTAATTAAGATGATGATTAGAACCACAAACTAAAATCCTGCAGACGAAAGAGATGTGTATAAACTCCAAGCAGTCTCCTCTCGCTGAAGAAACTAGTACGGTCATGATAAAGATCCAGCTATTATCACTATTATTACTACCGAAACTGAATCCACTTGAGGAAATTCCATCATTTTCAAGAAACACCCATAAAATGGAGAGGAGTGAGGAAAAGAGTAATGAAAATAAATATCCCACTTCTTCGAATATCAAGTTCTGGAAGAACGAGAATAAGAATAACACTAATACTGCCTTTTCTTCTTCTGCTGCAAGCAATATGAACACCTACAAAGCCATGGCTCAGTACAGTGCTGATGCGAGGCTGATGGCTGAGTTTGAGCAATCTGCGGAGTCGGGTAAGTCGTTTAACTATGTTTTTCATGCGCCACAGATTTTAAGTACTGAGGAACAGATGTCTGTTTATTTATCAAGAATCCAAAGGGGTGGTTTTGTGCAACCCTTTGGTTGTATGCTTGCTATTGAGGTATCCACTTTTAAAATCATAGCTTATAGTGAGAATTGTTTTGATATGTTGGGGTTGAAGAAATTTGTTGAGTCAGGAGAGTTTACGAATCTCTTTGGACTTGATGCAAGAACCCTTTTTACCCATTCTTCAAGGGCTTCATTGGCAAAGGCCGTGGGGTCTAAGGAAATTTCCTTTTTGAACCCAATTTGGGTTCATTCTGCGACTACCCACAAGCCTTTTTATGCTATTCTACATAGAATTGATGTGGGAATTGTGATTGATTTGGAGCCTGCTTACTCTGGCGATCCTTCATTGCTGCATGCTGGAGCAGTGCAGTCTCAGAAACTAGCTGTTCGGGCGATTTCGAGGCTTCAGTCTCTTCCCGGGGGAGATATAGGGGTTTTGTGTGATACTGTAGTAGAAGATGTTCAGAAGCTTACTGGCTATGATAGAGTAATGGTTTATAAGTTTCATGATGATGATCATGGTGAGGTTGTCTCTGAAATTAGAAGGTCTGACTTGGAGTCCTACTTGGGATGGCACTATCCTGCAACAGATATCCCCCAAGCGGCTCGATTTTTGTTTAAGCAGAGTCGTGTTAGGATGATCTGTGATTGCAATGCTCAGCCAGTTAAGATAGTTCAAATTGAAGAACTTAAGAGGCCTCTTTGCTTGGTTAATTCAACACTTCGAGCTCCCCATGGTTGTCATTCCCAGTACATGGCCAACATGGGGTCGATTGCCTCTTTGGCAATGGCAGTTGTTGTTAATGGCACCGACTCAATGAAGCTGTGGGGATTGGTGGTGTGCCACCACTCTTCACCACGCTATGTCCCTTTTCCCCTTCGCTATGCTTGTGAATTCCTGATGCAGGCATTTAGCCTGCAGCTTTATCTTGAGCTGCAATTGGCATCACAGTTAGCAGAGAAGAAAATTCTCCGAATGCAAACATTGTTGTGTGACATGCTGCTCCGTGATGCTCCATTCGGCATTATAACTCAGTCTCCT